GTAGACACACTTACATCTAGCACAGGATAAAATATGCAACCTTGGAGTCAGAATCAGACATTTTATAAGTAAACCTGTTTTCAAAGAAAATCTGTGACTGAAGAACCTGGTGGAGGATTTTGCAGATAAAGCACATCAAGTTTCTGGACTGCCCAGAGAGTGATGATTCGGTTGAACATATCACAAAGAAAATCTTGCAATGCTTACACAGAACAGCATCCTCAATGAAGAAAAGTATTTTTTTAAAGGCAATTTCATTTGATTCTAAATATAGGACAAAGTGCAGCATGTTCAAAGAGAGGGAATCAGAATGGTTAAGTCTGAAAAACATAGCACATGAGGCCAGTGGAAAGACGGAGGGGTATTTGGTCTAATGTAGAGCAAACCTGGGGATGGCACATCTCTGTCTTGTTGTGGAGACTCCAGAAAAATATCTCTTGAACTTCACTCACCTAACAGAAGCTGGCATCTGCTCTTCCTGTCTGCCCAACAGCCCTCTTTCTTGTGGGAACTGTCAATCTTCCAAGTCATGTGCTTCTGTACAGCTGAAAATCATGGTGCCTCACCTCTGCCCAGTAATCAGAATGTGTCATCCCAACACCATGGTGACTGGCTAAAAATGGCAGGTGTGACTCAAGCAAAGCCAACCAAAGTTCTTCCCTGAGAAACAGCATTTAGGTTTCTTGTCCTACGCATTTATGTTTTGAGAATGGTTTTGGACATGTTCCCTAAGCTATTTGCTTTCCTGGTGGAAGAATCCAGCTTGAAAATGAATCCAACAGAAATCAGAGCTGGGAAACAGAATGGGGACAAAGAGGACAGATAAAAAGAGAGAAGATATAGATATAAGGAAGCAGAGAGGAAGACAGAGAAGGCAAGATGGAGACACAGAGTAGGAGGAGACAGAGTGAAATCTGTTGACATTGCTTCCTTCTTTATAGATAGCCATGTCTGCCAGATTTTTCAGTTGAGTGAACCAATCAATTTAGTTCCAGTCACTTGTTGCTGAAAAGAGGCCTTACTGATAGGCTATCTGATAAGCACGTTGGTAAGGACACTCTCTTCACACAATTCATTGGCATATATCCAAGAGAAAGTCCTTTTTAAAAACTTACTTAAAACATAAACTTGAAATATACTCACATAACAAGTCCACTTAATGCACATGAAGTGCTACAATTTACAGTGGTCACTTCAGGGCATGCAGCTGTGGAGGTGATGGGGGAGAACTGGGGACATTTTATGTTCTTGTAAACCTAAGATATCTTTACACATGTTATGCTCAGGTGTCATTTTGAGTTAAGATTTTTTTTTTTAATGTGACTATTAGAAAAGAGATGAAATAGATCAAATGTGAGTTGTGGGATGGGTGAACAAAAATGAATGTGAAGGAAATCTGTCCAGAGGAGATAATAAGGGCTCCCTCAGAGGGAGTATTTTAGGGGTATTTTGTGAGAAAACATTAGCCAGGAAGATCCTGTGCTCTTTGCCTTGCTCTGACTTCACAGGGGACTCCCAGCACTGAAGTCAGAATGTTCTCAAAGAATTGAGGAATGTGACGCCCCAGGAACACTTGTAGCTAAAGTCCAGTCTGGGTGCACTTTTATGTGAGAAGGTTAAGGTCAACCAAAGGGAAAATTGAAGTTTAAAGGTGTATTTTAAAAATTAGTAAAAATAATGAGTCAGCCCTAATGCCATTGACCATCCAACGTAGCCAACACCATGCCCTCCTCTCACCCCCTCATAACTTTAGCTTTTAATGCTCTGGTGGAAATTCACTCCCCTTCCTCTCCCCCTGCCTCTCAATCTCTCTTTCTCTCCCCTCACCTCACTCCCTTCCCCCACCACTACTCCTTTTAAATGTTCATCTATATGTTTATTTTATAAAAGTGGAATTATGTTAAACATTTAGGTCCGAAAATTGCTTTTTCTCACGTGACACACCTATGATCTCTTTCCGTACACACTATTTCTCATGATTTTTAATGTCTTCACTATATTCCATTTTATTTTTTATTTTTTAACAATAAGCTCCTGTTTTTTTTTTAATTCTTTCTTTATTTTTTAGTTGTAGTTGGCTACAATATCTTTACTTTATTTATTTACTTTATGTGGTGCTGAGGATCCAACCCAGGGTGTTGCCCATGCTAGGTGAGCACTCTACTGCTGAGCCACAACCCCACCCCCAATATTCCACATTTAAAGCAATGTTCTAGTACAGCTACTTGGCTGTTTTTTCATTAACCACAGAACTTCAGATTTCAAAACGTCAACTACACTATAAAGTTTTTAATGTCGTTTTTGACCTCTCATGATCCATACTGTAGAAGCATTTATTTTAGTTGCGGTTTGAAAATAATTTTTAAGGAGGCAATAAGCTTTCATTAAAAGGATTCAATTCTCAACGTGTCAAGGAAGAACAAGGGACTGAGAACAGTAGTTGGAGAAAGGCCTTGTGTCATATTGAAAGAGTTCTGCATTCTGCTTTGATCCAGGAGACTCATTTGGATGGAATTAGGAACCCAAAGTGAGTGTTCTTGATCCAAAGGCACTACCCTGCATCAGTCACCCCAGAAGACAGGATGTCTTGCCAAGAATCTCATGGCTAGCGAGGACATCGCACCTCAATGAGACACTTGCTTTGTGTGCTTTGCCACAGCCAGGCCCTGCTCAGATACCAGACAAGGAGGCACACAGCAAGAACTGGATGATAAAACCATACTCTTCCAAGTTAAAACACTGCCTTGCAATATTTAGGATAAACCCTCCAGCCCGATAAGAGTATCAATCTTGGGTCAGGGAGCACTGGAAACAAATGACAAGTTTCCCAGGCTCCCAAATAAAAGCAAAACAAAACAGAGCTATATGACCCCATCTCACTTATGGTACTGGAGTGTTCAATGTCCACTATCAGAGAAAGAGATGGAATTTTTGCAGCAGTGCTCACAAAGAGAATGTGCCCATCACTCTGTTCAATTGCATTTGTCAAATATCTAAGTAAACATTTACATAATTACTGGCTATTTGCCAATATCTCCATTCAAATGCAAGTTCTTTGAGGGGAGGGATCATCTTACCATTATTAATATCCTACTGGAGTGAACACTCTGCTCCAGGTGGTCCCATACTTCCCCCATTTCTTCCTCCATGGCTTATTTTCTTACCCTTGATTTTTCCCAATCCTCAAGGTGATCACTAGCCATCCTGTACCCCCAGCCTTGTCTCTCTACGTTCCTCTAATACTTTCAGTCTCACTGTTCATTTCAGCAACAATCATACATGCAGGTTATCTTCAAGATATCTATGCATTTTTTATTTCTCACATTTTATTTCCTATATTATAAACTTTCATGTGGTATATGCCAACTACTTTTAAAAAGTCTTTCACTGTCTAAAGTTGAACTGTTGTAAAAACAAATAAACACGGTGTCAAACTATGACAGGTGAGGGATCTGGCAGTTTGATTTTACCATTGTCTTTATTTCTAGCCATACAGTGTAGTTTCATTATACAAGCATGTAACTTAGGCACCTTCAACTATATGTTCTTAGCAGAAGAAAAGTGAGCAATTTAAACAGAGCAGGCCAGTATGCTTCCCATTCCAATCAATGAGCAGATGTCCTGAGACCAGATGAATCTTCTGTTCTCTGTACTGATTTCAGTCCCTATCAACACCCCCTCTCCCAGTATAATTCTCTGGGAAGGTTATAATTTTACTGTTTTAAGGTAAATATTTTAGGTATTCCACAATCCATAATTTTGGCCAACAGCTTTTCCTAGTCTTCAAATAAAGAAACAGTGATCTATCCCAAGATGGGGAGTGCGTGGAATCTGCACCCCACACTTTCTTTTGGAAACTAAATCCTTAGCTATGACTAGAAACATACGTTCCTGGAATCATCTGACCTTTAAATTGCATTCTGCCTTTATTATTCAATAAAAATAAGTAGGAATTGGAAAACAAAAAGTGCTGATACAAGTGATAAATATACAAAATCTCCAACAAATGAGGCAGAGATGCAAATCATTACACCTCCTGAAGTCAAATATGAAGAAAAAGAACAAAATTATGCAATAGAAATGAAATTCTAGACCTGGATACCAAAACAGGTAATTATTGGAAATTTTATTATCATCTTTAGTTTTCTGGTAGTGAAACTCCAAAATCACATGCACATACCTAGATATTACTACATAGATGTAGTTTAGGGAATGGTCAAGTTCAAATATAAGGCACTATCATTTGGAACTGGTTCAGCTGCCCATCAGGCAGATGTATTGATTATTATTTTTTCTTTTTCCATTTTATTTTGATTATGCATTACATAATACACTGCATGCTAATAATATACTGCATAACCTCCCAGCAGGGGTAGATGACTCTGAGTTATTTTTTTCATCTATCAGGAAAATGCTTCCTTGAATCAATGTCCTCCAAACCATTTGGCATGCAATAATAATTACTCCATGAAACGCCACTGATAGGGACAATGGGAAATCTTTTACAGTTGTGTGCAGTGGCCACTCTGGGGAGGATAAGCAAGCACATGTTCATGATGCTGAGTCCAGGAAAAATGTTCAACCACATCTTGACATACATACCTAAGGCAAAACCCTACCCCTCACTCCTTAAAGGTGATCTTGATTAAGATGCCTTAATTCTTGTCAATTGGTTCCCTTAGAATTTTGTTCATGCCATAAGTACAGAATTTAGAGCTATAGGGTAAACAAGACTGCTAGTATCTTTTGCTATCTAGATATCTGGTAAGTTCCCTGCAGCAGGTTCTAGGTCTTTCTAATATCTAGATCTGCGGAACCTTAGAACTGCCTGTCTAAAATGGGGTCCTCTGTAAATTGAATGAATAATTGAATAACCAAATTTGCCTTTCTGAGATTCATTTCTTGCAATAACTTAGAGAAGAAGGAAAGACATTGTCCAGTATACACAAGGTCACTTCCTCCATACCCAAGCTCCACGAGACACCCTGCTCTCCCCTTACCTATCCAGGGAAATGCAGCACAGGTGAAAGATTGATGCTGTTGTGAGCAGGACATCTAGGGATGTCCGCACAAGACAAAACATCTCTCCATAAATCCAGATGTCTTGAACCAGCTCAATGGCACCGAAGGGCATCACCAGCACCGAAACCAGAAGATCCGCAAAGGCAAGAGATACAATGAAATAATTGGTTTTTATTTTCCTGTGAGTGAAAAAGTATAAGGGAGACGAGAGAGAGAGAGAGAGAGAGAGAGAGAGAGAGAGAGAGAGAGAGAGAGAGAGAAGGGAGGGAGGAAAAGGAAAGAAGTTACACATTTAACATATTCTGAGATTCTGTGTGCTCATCTGCTCTTCTGTAATACGCTGAGAAGTTCCTGAGTGGTCTGGCCTCTCTGACTTCTTCAGACCCATCTCAGGTCAAAAGCCCTTTTTTTCCCCCTCTTCCTTCTGGTCACTCTTTGCATCCTCCCTTCCAAGGGTCTTCGCATGGGTTCCCTCTCTCCAATTACTGGCTCAGTTACATCTCATCCTCACTTTAGCCCCGAGCAGGGCATTCTCAGGGACCCTCGCAATGTGTTCCCCTTACAAACAGCAAATTCGACCATTTTCCACCCTGAGACTGACTCTTGTGTGCCTCACATTTGTACCACCAGTCAGGATTGTGTTTTTACACCTCATTCACATCATTATTGATCAGTGCTGGCCTTGCTCAGAAAGGAACTGTGTCGTGTGTCCCCTTTGGTGACTCAGTGGCTCTGACTTCAAATTGCACACAAGAACTACACAGTGCATTTCAATACATCTTGGTGCTCCTGGCTACATCCCAGTTCCATTAGTTCATAAACCTTGGTTGCTTATTATCTCCCTCCCCACAAAGATTTTCAGATAAAAACCCCAGTTCAATGTGGATCTTAATAATATATTTATAAGTATGTCCAAAATATTGCATGGGACATAATTACACCACATAGTAACATTTTGTAAAAAAAAGCGTTTTAGGTGATTCTAATTGTAGGCAGGGGTGGTAATAATGAAGTAAAAACATAAGAAGATCCATGTTTAAATCTAGAACCATCATTAGTCAACTGCCTCTTCCCAGAACCATTGGTAAAGTCAGGGGCTTAGATTCAATGTGCTCTCCACAATTGTGTATACAGTGATCACAACTACTAAAAGCCATGACAGGGAAACAGATGGTACACCACAGTGCTTATACTGGAGATATTAGAGTTGTAGGATTGTGTGTCATCCCTCTTCCCTTCTCTGTTTTTTAAAAACTATTCACGTGAACTTTTTCCTTCATAATTACAATGAAAATGTTGAGACCCAGCTCTCCAGGGAGATTCCAGAACTCCACTCATGTTTCCCCAGGAGGTCCCCTGGAGTGGCTTACCGGAGCTGCCTGTCCCTGCACACAGCCACCATCACCAGCAGGTTGCCCAGGATGGCCATCAGGATGACTGCCGAGAGAAACGTGAGCAGCAAGACCTTCTCCAATGAACCAAAGCCCTCCTTGGAACTGGAAGACACAAAAACACAAAGAATTGCTGGGGACTGAGACATGGGAAAGAAAACTTGTCTTTTCCTCATTGACCTTCAGGAAGCAGCTGCAGCAGACATTTATCATGCACTGAATACATGCCAGGGTCTGAACCCATCAGTGGACAGGCCATCCTGGCTAACTTCTATATAATGAGGAGATGAGGCCAAAGAGGTGAACACACTAGCCAATGGTTGCACAGCTATTCTCCATCAGATAATAATTCATGGTTTCCCTTCAGAGACTACACCTCAGCAGGTATTCAGAAATGTATTTGGATGATTACTGTTTCACATGTCTAATCCAACTATATTATAAGCTGCACAAGTCAAGACCTCAGCTGTTGTATTCACTGCTGTATAGTTAATGTGTCATTCACTTTTGTCAGATGAAGGAAGGATGGCGCTGGATGAATGAATGACTGTACCTGGAACCAGGGTCTGCATGCATACAAGGGTCACTCTGTTTTCAGTACCCGAGTCCAGCCCACACAGAAGCCACTGTTCATAGGTGGGCTGCCCCAAGGAGAGGAGATCAGATTCTTTGAGGTGCAGAGGACAGACAGTAGCCAACCAATGAGCTGAGGGGCTTCTGCAGCTGCCCTCAACTCCACTTCTCTTGGTACCTAGCAGATGCCACTTTTTTACAGTTCAAATTTATTTTCTCATCAATTTCAGCATCTGATTTAATTTACAAATTCTTCCTTCCCGGTCTAAGTAAAAAACTTGCTTTATTAACTTGAAGTGAGTGACCTCTATTAATGAAAGTATAATATCTGCAGGTTATTCCAACGTTACAGGAAAAAGTTTTATTTTAATTGTGTTAATAAAATGTTTGTTTTAATGAAGCTTCAAAGGATCTTAAAACTCCTGAACCCAAACCCCACATTTGGGAAATGTGGGGGAAATTAGGGGATCTGAGCTGTCAGAACACATTAGAGGCTGGGAGAGGCTGCTCGTCCTGGGAGCCCACCACTGGGAACGCAAGGTCCAGACATGAAGGATTATCTGTTCTTACTGAACTCCTTTGACTGATAAATCAAGGTAGGCACCGACCCTCAAGGGCAGCAGTCTGTCAAGTCTGGCCCTGGCTTTGGTCCAACTTCTTCCTTTAGGCAGGCACAGGAGACAAAGTGCCAAATGGGATGAGAAACCAGCCTTACTGTGGTTGGAGAATGAGAAAGTTCCTCCACTTTGCTGAGAAGGGTTTCTACAGATTGATTAATTTAAATATCTAGGGCTGGGATACAGATGAAAAGAAAAGGTATATTCACCTAAATCACCCTTCCACATTTAAGTGCCAACTATCAACAGTACAAATATTGGACAGGGAAGATTTAATAAAATGTGGAAAAAGACATCAAAAGGGTAATGTGGCCATGGAAAAACTTATTTGATTTTAGGCCATATCAAGTAAGGTGAAGTATCCAACAAAGGAGGTGATGGTGGTTCTTTTCCTTGTGCTGCTTACAGGCTCTGACTCAGAGTCCCTCTAACCATTGCCGCCCTCCCCCCCATTAGGTCCCTGTATTTGATGTATTTCTTTTCTCAAGTGCTCCTTAATTGACTGACTACTCCTTGTCATTCAGATCTCATATCAAATTCAACTCACATTTAATGTGCTACTGCCAACAAACATTTTTCATTTCTTTATACCATTTGTTGTTATTGAAATGACTTTTTTTTATTGATTATTTCTGTTTATCACCCCCACATATTGACTTTGGTTACTTTTATTTTTTGGTGCTGTGGATTGAACCCAGGGATCTTGTGTGTGCTAGGGAAGGGCTCTACTACTGAGGTACACCCCAACCCAGACTTTGGTTATCTTTTTCACTCTTCCAGTGCCTGGCACAATATCTATTCTATGGTGTGAGTAGCACATAGGTATATGTAGTACACAATAAATACTCTATTATTTGCTGATTGAGTGAAAGACAGATTATGTTCGTAATGGTGAGGTTTGTTTTTTCAACACTTTTGAAAATTGCTTGAAAGTATATGGGAGATTTTATCTAGTAAAGAGAAGTCCCAGGGATAAGACAAAGCTGTTTTTTTAAACTACCTGAAGGACTGTCATTTGAAAAAATAATTAGGTTTACAGTCTCACTCATTCAACATTATTTTTTGAGCACCTGCTCCATGGTGGGCATCATATGACCCAGGGAAACAGCAAGAAGCAACTCAGAAGGCAGATGATAAACAGATACACATGAATATATGAGAAATACCAACTGGTACATGCAGTCTTAGGGAGAAAATCTGGAAGGGTGAGGAGGTCGGGACTGCCCATGAAGGCTGGCTATTGCACAGGGGTTGTCATTGAGGGATCAGTGGTAGATGTCACAGCTTATAATGCCTGGGTTGTGTGATTAGGAGGGATCAGTGAGTGGGCTTTAAGCAGAGGTTTCCAACCCTAGCTGCAAAGTCTACAAGGAGATTTTTTAAATGCTGATTCTGGGGCCTCACTCACAAAGACACTGATTTAACAGGCGTGGCTTGCAGCCTGAATATTGGATTTTTTTTTTTAAGCACTCAGTGATTCTGATGTGCAACCAAGGCTGAGTGCTCTCAGTAGATGGCGGACAGATTCAGCGGTGGATGAAAACAATCACCTAGCAACTAAAAATGATCTGCAATGGCTTCCTGGTGTTATATTAAGCTCCCCAGTACAGAAAGAATTGAAGAACACCTGGGCCCACTGAGATACAACTTCATGTGCAAGAGGACAACCATTAAATAAAAAAATAAATAGAAAGATACATAAATAAATAAAAATATAACAAAGTTGGCATGAATGTAGGAAAACTGGAACCCATGTACAATGCTGGTGGGAATGTAAAAGGGTACAGCCACTCTGGAAAGTGTTTTGTGGTTTCTCAAAAGGTAAAAAGTATATCTCAAATACTTGAAAACAGAGATACAAATGGACACTTGCATACCAATGTTCACAGTGGGATCAGTCATAAGAGCTCAAAGGTGGAAATTACCCAATTTTCCATGAACAGATAAATAAACAGAATGTTGTATATACATACTATGGAATATTATCTTGCCATAAAAAGGAATGAAGGTCTGACACATGTTGCAGGATGGTGTACCCTGAAAATGTTTTGCTAAATGAAATACACTAGGCACAAAAAGATAAATATATGATTCCAATTATATGGAAATCCAGAATAGGCAAATTCTTAAAGGGAAAGAGGTAGAACCTCATAACCCAGAGTTGAGGGGGAATGGAGAAGTATTATTTAATACGTATAGAGTTTCTGTTTGGGATGATGGAAGAATGCAGGAAATAGGCAGTTGTACAAACAGTTTCACACTTTTACAGATGTACTTAATATCACTGAAGTATATACTTAAAATGCTTGTTTTACATATTAATGGTCAATTTCATGTTATTTATACTTTATTATAATAAAAAAGAATACATGGATGATCAGATGCCCAGACACTATATGGGGCTCCTGTATTAGGGGCAGGCTGGGCTGGGTTGTTTTAGGTCCCTTTCTTGTCTACAACCAATGATTTAAATACATACCCTAGTGGGAGGAAAGATTCAGACTGTTTGGGATGAACACATCGGGCTCCAGAGAATATATATTTCAAATCAAGCAGATGTCAGGATCAGAGGGCACCAAGTTCAAGATATAGTTCATTTGTGACAGGCCAATTAAGAGCCAGAAATAGCTAAACTGTAACCTGTGAGTGACAAGCAAAATTCAACCATAGAAAGAGATCTTTTAATTAGGAAGAATTGTCCATTGAACTAAATGTAAATCCAATAACAATAATTAAAATAAATTAGGAATCACTTTTGTAAATTCACCTTTGACTCCTGGGTTGCCTCTGACGCCCTCAGAATACTGTCAACTACTCACTACCAGCTGATTCTCATCTGGCCAAAGAGTTGTCCCCTACACTGAATTGATTCCTTGACAGCTAATCTTATGAAAACTTTTACTTTCTCTTCTTTGTTTTAGCTTTTTCAGTGATCTTTCAATCCATTAATAAAGAAATTCCACAATTTGTTGTCTATGCTTACCATTTCCTCTGTTTTTAATGAAAGAAAACATAAAGACACTAATTCTGGGCAAGATTCCACATAGGTCAGTGTATGTGAGACTAGATTGTAAATGACAGAGTACAATACGAAGAACTAATTGTCATCAATACCAGAAGCCTATACAGGCCGCATAGCAGAGGAAGTTATAGGTTATGCTGTGTTACACACACACACACACACACACACACACTTTTCACAGGCGGGAAGATACTTTTTGATTGGTTTTGCCCTGGATTTGTTAACAAGAACCTGTGTGACTTCCAAATACTTCTCTGAGCCTCTTTATTCATGGACTAATTGAGAAAGTTAGATTGAATCTTTCATTCATCAAATATGTATTGAGCGCCAGCCACCTGCCAAGTAGTGTGCTGGAAATGGACAGAGTCCCTGCCTCACGGAGCTCATCGCACTGTGGGTTGACACAGACAATGTACAGGGCAGTTAAGGCAGTCAAAGCAGCCTGATCAGTGCTTCCAACTTTCATGTTTATATAAACCTACCAGGGATCTTATCAAAATGGAGATTCTGGCTTTGTAGGTCTGGGGTGAGGTCTGGGATTCTGTATTTCTGTCCAGCTGGAGGTAGTCATGCTGGTGCTGCTGGTTCCTGCATCACACTTGGAGTAGCAAGATTATAACAGGCCTAAACATGGCAGTGTCACAGAGATGAGTAGGACAGAGGGCAATGACTGGTAGCCAGAGAAAACTGGAGATGATGTTTGGCTGAACTTTGATCTTTGCAGAGGATTCAGAAGTGAGAAATCAGAGGATTCGGGAGGAAGAGCAGATGCAAAGGCCCTGAGACAGGCAAGACCTTGTGTTCACTATCACAGGGGAACAGCAGGGGCTGAACTATTGAGATAAGCTCAGAAAAGGGGTCAGGAGCTACATATACTCTGAGAGTTTGTTCTG